TGTCCGTGTTAACGTTCAGTAAACAGAGCTGCTCGTTGTTAACCATCAAGTGATCTCGCTGGTGTTCATATTGTTCACAGTTACACCACCTGGTCCAGTGTTTTTTTCCCATCAGTAATCTTCATCCTCCTTACGCAAAAATGTAGTTTAATTCCTGGCATATATTAATCCACTGCTTAATTCAATAATGCCTCTCAGTGCCATCACCATCCCTTACAATCCTGCGATTGTCACAATTCTGTATATTGCTCCTGCGCATCGTAGAATCGCTCCATCTCCACGATGGTTGCTATTAAACTAAACTGAATTTTATTTGACCAGATAAGGCCCACTGAGCGATGTCGCTCTTTTTCAGGAACAAACTGGCCATAAAGATAGCTCAACGAAGTGGCTTAACGTGTCGAAATGTATAGCAGCCAAATACACTAAACGGATGTTGATGTTTAATGTGGAGGGAAAAACCAGGAGGACCCGGAGAAAAATACACGCGACCACAGAGAGAACAGGCTAACTCAGCAGGCGTCAGGGTCGGGATCAAACCCACCACCTCCTGTATACCAGGCGAGGTAGTTAACATCTCGACACCGTGATGCATCAGCATCAGAAGATAACCCCCTGATGAATACATAATTATATACTGATTTTAGAAACAAGGCTTCGACTAAACTTAAGAAAGTAACAACCATATCAGGTTATCATGGTCATAATCATAAGCACGTAAAAAAAATAAGCGACGACAAAACAATTGAAGATCGTCATGAACACGGATGCAAAGTTCGACTCCAGCGAAATTCTGGGGGAGAAGCGCCGAATTCAACGATTTCACTCGACAAATGGATTAATGAAAGTTGTGGAGACGCGAATAGAAAACTCGGCAGTGTGCGTGAGCCGAGAGGGCAGGTGCTGATTGCGGCTCTGGCATCAGCACGGTTGACTACGTACGGTGCAAAAAAAGTTCAACATACGTACAGGATGTGCATCAAAGCCATTCCATAATCTATGTATGTTGAACTTCTTTCGCACCATACGTAACCAACCACGCTAATCAGAGATGCGGGGAAGGACAACAAACTAAGCAGAACAAGTAAATCTAAAGGAATTAGTTTTCAATCGAATTCCTTGGCAGAGTCTGCAAAGGCTAAACACACAGCAGCAATTGATATTTAAACGGCACACACATTAAACAGATTCGTCTTTCCAAGGAACTTTTTTTTAATTTTCATTTGTCTCTGTCTTGTCTCGTATCTAATTTGAACTTGTTATATCATGGGCACTCACGATGATAATTGCAGACAAAAATAATAACAATAATAAAAAGTGTGCAAAGAAGCGTGCCTGCACTCACAATGAGCTGCGTTAGGCAGCTACTGGGGCTACACAAGGAGTTGGGCGAGACCAGCGTGGAGTGGAGTTGAGTTGTGAGTTGTGATCGTGATTCGTAGCAAACCGAAGTGCCCGAAGGAGAAAGTTTTCAATCAGTGGGTATCGTCAGCTGTGACGTGCGGATCAGAAACGTATCGACATTGACAACAACAAACAAACAACAACAACAACAAAAACAACAACAAACAACAACCAACAAACAACATCAAACAAATAACATCAAACAAACAACAAACAAACAACAACAAACAACAACAAAAACAACAACAACAAACAACAACAACAACCAAACAACAACCAAACAACAACAAACAAACAACAACAAACAACAACAAAACAACAACAAACAACAACCAAACAACAACAACAAACAAACAAATGGACCTACAGACGCCATCATTCGGACATCCTATTTTGTTTAAATAATAAATCATGTTCCTCCCTCTCGTTTAAAACAATTAAAAACACAATCCCGTCTTAGTCAACACCAATACATCAGCTTCATTAGAATAATAGTAACGTCATTTTATGTATCGAAGAAAGTCTCACTGAGTCCCACGACTCTTTTCAGGAGGGTCCTGCCAACTTGGGATATTTGGCCAATGCCAAAAGCGAGTGTTTGGCTTGGTGTGGCAGATAACAAATCTCCACACAGATGGATTCAGTAAGTCAATTTGCTGTGCTTTGCTAATTCCGCAATGTTATATATTTGTATAATACAGCAAAATAAAAGAGTCGCATTTTTGTCATTATATTGGAGCATGTCAACTGTTTGATAGATTGGTTCCTATTTAGGAAAATGTAATGTGAGCAGAGGCGATTTTCTTAAAATAACGATTTTATTAATATTGATTGACATGACGAGGATCTATCTAGTCTGGTGTGGATCAATCAGTTTTAAAGTCAATACATTTATTACCAGAGCATGTTTTTGTTTGCATGTTCACCACAAGTACGTGTGGTTAAAGCTGACATGATTTCTCGCAAAAGGTTTCTGTTTGGTGTTTTAACATGTTAACACAACTGTTTTATTGCCCGAGAGGGTAAAACCTATTCTTATATAAGAATCTATCTCATTGGTTAATAATACAATATTGATCCTGTAACTACAAAAATACTATGAGCCAGGGTTTCACTTGAGTATTGTACCACAGTAGGCCCACCGTCAGCGAGTACTCGTGAACAATGTCGAATAATTATATAATTTTTTTCAATCTCCGTGACTTTACCGAAAGACCCAAGAATATAAGAATGTCGAAGGTATACTAATAGGGTTTTTCCCCTTTTTTTCTGGCAACAAAACTGACACCTTTTCAAGGAATCATGTTTACATTAACCACAATACTTGCAGTCAAATGCAAACAAAAAACAATACTCTGATAATTTATGCATTGTCTTTGAAACTGATTGGTCCACACCAGAGACAGCTTTCTTTAGAGCCTAGTCTCATATGGTGTTCGACCAGATGACGCCAAAAGGCACGCACAAAAGTGCGACGAAGACCATGCATACCGGGACGCCTTTGTCTTCTCAGTGACCACACGAGGCGCTCATTTTAGGTTGAGCTGAGCTAGTTGAGGTTCACATGACGCCAGCGGTCCCCAACATGTTTAGCACCAGGGACCAGTTTCGTGGAAGACAATTTTGTTCATGGACCGGGGGGCGGGGGGTCATCATTGGGTCTTTACCCCTTTTCAAAGAAGCTCTCCAGCGACGTTTTTTTTTTTACTCATTTTGGCCAGGGATTAGCTTGTGTGTGGGCTTACCAAAACTCTGACTGAGGCAAGTGCGCCGTGGGGGAAAGATGCGCGTACGGAAGTGGTCAATTAAACAATGGGGGCAGGCCACGCGCGGACTCACCGCTCTCACCTCCTGCTGCTGTGCGGCCCGGTTCCTAACAGGCCACGGACCGGTACCGGTCCGTGGCCCGGGGGTTGGGGAGCCCTGATGTAACCAATGCCACAATGTGACCAGGGATCGAACTGGGGTAAACCGGGCTCACAGAGCAGCCGACGAAAGCGCAAAGTGAACCCCCACGGTGCGCTCTCTATCGGCTTCAGCGTCGCACTCCAACGAAGGCGAATTACTCGGTTCACTTGGAGGTCATTTGTTTGGGTCGTGTGTTTTGGTAAGTGTTTGGCGCGAGAGTTGGAGCGATGTGGGACTCTGGGCTGACCCTACTACCCTGTCAGAGCAATCAATCAAATCTCTCTGCGCTCTAATTTTTCTAATCTTGATTTTGAAAAATAATTCTAGTCTGCACTTTTCGACTTTCGGATGTTTCTAGTTGTGAGGACATACTCTTTGGTTCTTTCGGTAAAGTCACGTAGGTATGAAATGAAATAAATAACGACGTTTCAGGCGCAACTCTAAGCGTCCGTCATCAGGTGGGAAAACATGATGACGGATACTTGTGTTGCGCCCGAAACGTCGTGAATTATTTTATTTATACCTACTTGACTTTACCGAAAGAACCAAAGAGTATGGATTCCTGCGGTCACGAAAGCTTCAAATCTAGATTGTTCAGGATATATTTAACTTAAATCCGTGCTAAATGTCACCTCTCTGGCTAGCCTTCCGAAGACATCATTATAATTTACATAAATCACTGAGTGACGGCCGTCAAGCACGGCCAGTGAGTAGCAGCACGCCACACGAGGGGGTGGGTGGCCATCACGGCACCCGACCGCCTTTGTCTCCCCATTGGCGATGTTTCCACATCGCACCACGTATACCCATTTGAGACTGAGTCGACCTAGGACAGGCCCAGGACCGAGTCAGATCATCGTCATCCGGCGTTGGTCGTGATGCGGGATTGGAACACAGATCGCCGGGTTCGTAGCGCACACATACACACAAATATACACACGCGGCTGCCGTTGTCTCCTAATGCGATGTTCATGAGCGTGTAGCCGCAAGTGGTACTAATTTAAGGCTGAGTCGACCTAGGGGGAGGCAATGATTCAAGCTGCCACCGATGTGCACAGGTGCTGTTGGCAAGCACACCTTGAGGTTTATGTGGCGCACATGCAAGTGGTGCGGCTATCACAACCAGCCGCTTTTGTCTCTCCCGTGTTGATGCTCACACACCGTGACGTATACCCATCTAATGTTGCGTTAGCCGTGGCTGGGAATTGAACCCGGATTGCCAAGTTCGTAGGCGTTGTGTGCCAACCACTGTGCCACCTTTCACATTTATACAGACACGCGCACGGTCCCGTGTCCCCGTGTCCGCTTACCTCCATGTCTCCTTATCCCAGTGTACTAATCTCTCAATTCTAACATTTCGCTATGTCTGCGTATCCCTGTGTGTCCCTATACCCCCTTATCTCCGTGTCTCCATGTCCCTGTGTTCCACTATCCCCGTCTCCCCATGTCCCCGTGTCCGCATGTCTTTGTGTCTCCGTGTCCCCACGTCTCCGTGTCTCCGTGTCCCCATGTCTTCGTGTCCACGTGTCCCCATGTCCCCGTGTCTTTGTCTCCCCGTCTCCCCATGTCCCCATGTCCCCATGTCTTTGTGTCCCCGTGTCCTCATGTCTTTGTGTTCCCGTGTCCACGTGTCCCCATGTCTTCGTGTCCCCGTCTCCCCATGTCCCCGTGTCCCCATGCCCTCTTACCGGTTCCGCGTCTCGAGATCCCCACATCCCAGACCCCGTTGGGCCGCCGGGAGCCGTCGAAATCGGGGTTCAGTCAGATCCCCCCGTGGGATCGCATCGTCCGCCGATGTCATCATCGCCATCATCAACATCATCACCACCACAACGATCCTCCTCCTCATCATCGTCATGCTCATCATCGTCGATATAATCATCGTCCAGCGCCTCTTCTTCGTAAGGTCACCCAGACTCGAACTTATACCGGCCCAGGCCACACGGACCAGGGAGCCAGCGCCGCAGTTCGAACACGGCAGAGCCATCGTGGACAGCAGCTGTAGCAGCAGCCACTGCAGCAGTAGCAGCAGCTGTAGCAACGACGGCGGTAAATGTAGCAGCAGGAGTAGCTATCGCAGCGACAGCAGCAGCAGCGGCGATAGCAGTAGCAGACTAATTACGACAAGCAGAAGTCGCAGCAGCAGCAGCAGCAGCTGTGACAGTAGCTACAGCGGCAGTAAGCAACGCAATTGCTGCATCCACCACCACTACAAGCCCCGAACAGCTATGCTAGCAGCTGCAGTAGCAGCAGCAGCGATATGAAAAACAAAACCAGCACAAGCACAAGCAGGTGGAGCAGCAGCCGCAGCAAATCTCAGTGCGACCACGGAGAAGGGAGGCGTCGAACTGGAGCCCCGCAGTTGTGAGCGGCTGTAGTCCGTGCGATACGCCGCTCCGCTGCTGCTGCCGCCGCTGTTGTGTGTATCGATCAACGTACGCGTGTGTCTCTCTGTGCGACACACCGCGCGTGTGTGTGCGTGTGTGCAATGCCCCAGCGCACGGCTTCCCCTGGCTGGCTTATTGTGCGAGAGACGTGAATGCGGCTCGGCACGGCGCAAATCTATTGGGACGCCACATAATCGGCTTTATTAAGGAGGAGGAGGAGGGAGCTTTCCAACCTCCTCCTTCCTCCGCGTGGGTCTGGAGAGCGTGAGTGCCGAGTGCTGTGGCACGTGTAGGGTGGAGCGGTGGGACAATGATTGGCGCGATTCACGGTGTGACTGCCGGCGATGATGTGCGCACACAGGGCCCGGTTACCTGACGACGACATGGGGTTGTGGGGACGGCACAGGGATTTCAGGAACGAAACAAAAGGAGGATTTCTACACAAATCTGGCTGTCGCCTGATGATGCCGGTTGTAATTACTGGCGAAACGTCGTACTCAGATTGTAAATGTTGTGGGTTTACTCTCCAACACACCGGTGTGCTGAGCTAGTAACGAATTGGCATGTTCTGTTTACGTGACAAAACTTACTAATTGGCTGTGTCGGGTGGTGGCGGGTTTAACGACACATTTTTATTTTCGCGATCTAAACCAAAAAAAACCTCTATTATGGATAATGTTGGTCGCGAAAGCTTACGACGAGCTTAACTGACGACACGGGGACGTGGGAACATGGGGACACAGGGACACGGAGACACGGTGACGTGGATACATGAGACGACGGAGACACAGGGACACGGAGACACGGATGCAGTGCAGTGAATGTGAATGGGGAGCGGTGGCGCGGTGGTGAGAGCACCGCCCTACCGATCCCGTTCAGCAGCCCCAACATCAGTGACGAGCGATGTCTGAAGCAGTTCTCTGTCCTCCCCTCATTAGGTCGTCTCAGCCTTAAATAATTATCTGTTGCAAGCGTCAGTACCGAGGAGACGAATATATGAAGGCATGGACTCGTATATGAAGGCGTACGTATGGATTAATATGCGTCTATATATCTGGTGTGTATTTGTAATTCATGACAGTATTTATAAAACATCGTGTGGCTGCATATTTGAATGTCTATCTCGCGCTGTGTTTGAACACATAAACTGGGGGGTACATGGTTCGATCCCCACTCTGACGATGCCTTCATATCAAGATTGATGCCTGTGTGTTTGGAGTGTGCGTGCCTCTCCCTCTCTCCCCGTAGTTGCGTGGATTTTTTTTCTCCGGGTCCTTCGGGTCTTCCCTCCACATGTAGAAGCCACACGCATTTCGAGTCGTTGGCTGATATAAATGTCCACGTGACAAGCTGCTCCGTTGAGCTATCGTCTGCCGTCAGGTCGCTTCTGAAAAATAATCCAAAGCTCAGTGGGCTTTACCTGGTAAAATGAAACAGAATTTAGTTTCAGTTTATGTAATTATTTTTAGTGATTTGCTTACTAGCCGTAGTCTCAAGCCGCACCTTGCCATAATAATAAAAAGGGGGCCGTTCCTGGCCCATCCCCCCCCCCCTCAACCAGTATATATACGGAGTGGTATCTCTTGGAATCTCTCATTTACTTGATACAGCAAGCGTGCTGTGACGGTTCCACCTGAAGACGGAAGCTTGTGTTGCCTCCGAAACGTCGTGATTTTTATTTTACATTAATTAATTTAATTTGTTTACCTACGTGACTTTACCGAAAAAACCTAAGAATATGATTTGCTTACATTTACTACACTTTGCACTCCGACCGTGTGTTTGTGTTGTTTGTTGCAACTCTCTGACCCGCCCATACCGGACATGCGTGGCAAAGAGCTTCACAGCTCATCGGATTTCTCCAGGATAAACAATCATGATTCTTATTTTGACCACACCGCTAATTCGCTCACCTCGTATCCACACCACGACGGCCACTGCTAGCATCAGTATCTGGAATCGGTCCTGTCTCAGTCTTAATCACTTCACTAGCCTGCGCTGACTAGCGTGGTGCAATATGGTCAAACAACCCCCCATGACCGATCCGGTATGGGGGTTGTATCATCCGCACCTCCGATTAGCACGGTTGGCTACGTATGGTGCGAAAGAAGTTTACATTCGCCATTGATGTTAGTCGTGGCCAGGAATCGAACTCGGGTCCACCTGGGTTGATTATCGCAGTGCGCTAGCTACTGCGCCAAGGCCCTCTCCATATTCAATGGAGATGCAATAATTATAATTAGTGTGTGTATAATAATGATCTATTGTACACCCACTAAGAACTACTATTACGTACAATTAGGTGTGATTGCATGCCCTCCACGGCTGCTCGAGTCTCACCGCGCCGCGTGTGGAACGCGTGTTGTGTTTGTGTCGAGCGAGAGACGAATTGTCCACGTGTGTGTGTGTGTGATTGTCGGTGTCAATGTTTGTGTGTGTGTGTACGTGGCATGTGAATAGTGGGGAGCGGTAGTGTAGCGGTTAGTACGCTGCGCTACGAACCCAGAGACACGAGTTCGTAATCCCGCTCACGGCTAACACCAGTAACAATTATTTGAACCGGTCTTGGGCCTCCCCTAGGCCGACTCAGCCTCAAATTTGTAAGTACTGCTCGCTATCAGCACTGGACTGGTCATCCTGTGTAGTCCAGACGGGGAATCTTTGTCTGTGTGTGTGTGGGATTGGGAGCGGTGGTGTAGTAGTTATCGCGCTGTGCTACGAACCTGACGACCGGGGTTCGATTCCCGCTCACGGGAAACATCAGTGACGATTATCTGAACCGGTCTTGGGCCTCCCCTAGGTCGACTCAGCCTCAAATTAATACTTGATCCGGCGTGTAAACATCGCCACTGGGGAAACAAAGGCGGTCGGGCGTGGTGCTCGCCAACCACCCCCTCGTCGTGTGCCGTGCCTGCCTTCATAGGCGCTCGCTAACAGCACTTTCCCCAACAGTTTGTGAAGGCTATACGGGGGATCTTTGTGTGTGTGTGCGTGGCAAGTGAATACAAGGGGGTTACGGCACTGCGCTACGAACCCGGCGATCCGAGTTCGATTCCTGCACACGGCCAACAACATTGAATATACTGGGTTTTTACTTGAAATTCTGATTTTATATTTCGATTTTAAACTTTTCGAGATTTCCGGATACGGTACAGATTTTGGTCAACCCAAGGATCGAGAGCGAACGCGTTCAGCATTTTGACCCAACTATTTGGGGCGCTTCAAAGCAATGATAAACCTGACTTTCAAACAGTTCAAGTTATAGCTACTCACCACTGGCTTATTTTCTACGATATTACATTTATCTAGCCCTTACAAGACTGTTGTATTTACCGTTAGTACCAACTACTGTACTCACTCACACGCTCACCCACAAAACGCTTATATGTATTGTATATATGTGCATGCGTTCGCGTGTGTGTTTGAGATGCAAGCTATGCGTGTGTATTGATGTTAGAGCGGTGGCACAGTGGTTAGCGCACTGCGCTCTAAACCCGGCGACCAGAAACTAACTAACTATGAACTATTTTTACGTTACCAGCTGAGGCCCACTGAGCTATAATGTAGCTATTTTTCAGAAGTGACTTGGCCACAAATGATAGCGCAACGAAGTGGCTTATCACGTGGAAATGTATAGCAGCCAAATGCTCTAAACGCGTGTTTCTAAACTAGGAGTGAAAACCCGTAGGACCCGCTATGTTGGATGCAGACATCTAATTGGGCTGAGTCGACCTAGGGGAGGCCCGGGAACTTGTAGCCATTGCCGGGAATCGAACTCGTGTTAGGTCGACTCAGCCAATATTTGACACAAAAAAAATCGGATTTTCTCGTTACAAACATATGGGCTGGAACAAATTTTTCCCAAATGTCATATTCTAGCGCTTGTATAACATTATTAGAATTTCTACTCTTTGGTTCTTTCAGTAAAGTCACGTAGGTATGAAATAAAATAAATCACGACGTTTCGGGCGCAACACAAGCGTCCTTCATCAGGTGGGAAAGCGCTTTTCCGTTGTCTTTGCGATGATGGACGCTTGTGTTGCGCCCGAAACGTCGTGATTTATTTTATTTCATACTTACGTGACTTTACCGAAAGAACCAAAGAGTATGGATTCCTGCATTCACGAAAGCTTCAAATCAAGATGATTAGAATTTGCGTGACTTTCTGATGACAGGCGATGTGTATGTGTTCGAGGTCTACGCGTGTATGTATATGCATGTGTGTATGTACGATGACGTAGTAGTTCGTGTACTTCGCTACGAACCGGCCGAGCTGAGTTCAATTCCCCGTGATTGCGAACATTTACAAAGATATTTAATCCGTCAATAACACTGTGGCCTTATATATGAAACTATATATATAGTATGCGATGTTTCGGGCAACGGCCCTTATTCATAGGACATGTTCAATCTTCGATTCCCGACCATACCTATTTCTGGGTCTTCCCTAGGTCGACTCAGCCTGATATTTCTACTAAAGCGGCCGATTGTGGGCCTGGCCACACACCACCCTCTCGTGTGCAGCGTTCCGGCCTTCGTAAGTGCTGCCCGCTATCAGCACTTGACCGGTCATCCTGTGTCGTCGAGATGGGGAATCTTTGTCTGTGCCTGTGTGTGTGGGGAGCGGGTTCGATTCCCGTTCACGGCTAACACCAGTGCCGATTATCTGAACCGGTCCTGGGCCTCCCCTAGGTCGACTCAGCCTTACCCGAGTACCTGGTGCGGTGTGTAAACAT